AGTGAAACAGAAAAATTAGGGTTACGGGAAGAATAGACGAGAGGTTTAGTGATGGCATGTAGTTTGACTTCCTCTTTCAAGCAAACTTGGAGATGTGTGGGTCCATTGATTAAATGCCTCTGCATGCCTGATCAAGTTGGCTCAGCCCTTTTTTGTTTGTGTTTCACTAAATGCCACGACCTCATGCTTTTTTGTTTCTGCAGAAATTATACTAGCACTTTTCTTTTTTTTTTAAACAATGAACCTGACTTTAGGCTAATCGTTTTTGGGCAAGCATGGAGTTGAGTGTCTGGGGTTTCTCTACAGTCTCTTGCACACTAAATGTGGTCTGTAAGAGGAAGGTGGAATTTAGTGTGTGTGTTTGCGGGGCAGGAGGAGCCTGCTCTGTCTGTAGTCTGGTGGCATGATTGGAGGGAAACCATAAGCTAAATGGAGTCACTTGACTAGAACACTGCAGCCTGTGTAAACATCAGGCTTCAGCTCACTGCACCTACAGTGGACATACAGTTTACTCCTCATGTGTGTCACAAACACACACTTTTGGTATCTGTAGTCAACATTTTGATTAGTTTATGAGTGGTGTGAGGTCCACAAACATAAACATTCAACCCTGTGAATTTAGACTCTTCCAGTGCACATAAACACACTCATAAACACTCTTAAACAAACACCCACCCCTGCTAATACACATGAACACACAAATATGCACAATAACATGCTGCTCTACGAACACCCCCCTACCCCCCACCCCGACACACACATGCTGAGTCCTACTACTGTAGCTCTCTGAACCATGCTGTGTGCTGGCTTAAGACCTACAGCACAGGATCTTCTCTCCTGTGACTTCAGGTCGTCTGCAAAATGCACAAGCATGCATGCACACACTTAACAAACACACATCCTGAGGCATGTTAACACACTGTCTGAGTGGAATGTAAGCTAAGCAGGGCGATGCAGATAAGACAAAGTAATAGCTTGAGTTGCTCACATTGTGGATGTTGCACAGACCCAATCCTCCCCTGTGTGTAAAACCTGATCACAGTCCAACAGAATCTGTGCAGCTGCGTCAGTTGTCATACTTGTCTTAACTTAACTTGATGCTAGCTCTCCTCTAATGGTTATTTTCATTGTTGATTAATTGGTTGATTTATTTTTCTCAATTAATCGACTTGTTGTTTGGTTTATGAAATGTCAGAACATGGTGAAAAATGTCAGTGTTTCCCAAAGCCCAAGAAGACATCCTCAAATGTCTTGTTCTGTCCACAACATAAATATAATCAGTTTACTGTCATAGAGGCAAAGCAGGTTTATTTGTATAGGACATTTCAAAAAGGCTATTCAAAGTGTTTTACATAAAACATAAAAGCATTGTAGGGAAATTAAAAAAAGACATTGACATACAATTTTTAAAGGGTGAAATAGAAAATAAAAACAGGATAGAACAGGACAGTAAACGTTACAGTGCAGTGTAAGATATTAATCTACAGACTTAAATTCAATTTAATTAAAGGCAGTGGTAAAAAGGAAGTAGAGGAGAGAAGTAGAGGAGTTAAGAAACTGGAAAATATTCACAGGTAAACAGCTGGAATCAGACGTTTGACTTTTTTTTCACTTAAAAAAAACCTATTAATCAATTATTAAAATAGTTGGACAAAAATGTAGTAGTTGACAACTAATCGATTAATCGTTGTAGCTCTGTAAACAACAAATATTTACTATTGAAACATGCTGTTGAGTATTGTAGCAGAAAGACTTTAAAATTGATCCTCCACCTTCATGGATGAGCAACACTCATATCTAGCTTCGTATTCCGATGGTAGTTTAAAAATGGGCTGTGCTGACTGGTATGCTGTGTAAGTGCTCCTGAGACCCCACACTGCCCTCTGCTGTCACGGCTGTCACTTACCCACCTGTCCTCTCACTCCTTTCTGTGCCACTGCTGTATCTTCCTCTTTGCAGGTTCCCTCTCAGCCTTAAGGAAACAACTCTCACAAGGGCTCATTAAAACTTCCAGAGGTATAAAGGAAGTGTAGCATACTGGTTCTCGCCAAGGTGCTGCCTCACAAATGGTCTCAGACACACATACACGCGCACAGTCCTGTAAAAGCTGTCTGAGTGACTGAGTAGACTGCTGTAGCTCACTAATACAATGAAGAGAAGTTGGCAGTACTCTAAATCCCACTGCTCCCACTTGTTATTGCAGTTGACCCATTGACCCGTATAACACTGTTGGTTCACCACTGTTTGATTTGAAAGTACATCAGTAGGTGGGAAACAGCAGGGACATCAGGTCCAGCTTTCATTGATGGAATTTTTGCAGTTATTGAAAGTGTTCTCAGAAAGATGCTAAACATGGGGTAAATCAAATCTTGGTTTTCTTAGATGGAGCTGGTGAAGCTGGACAGAGTGAACAACGGTATAGCTGTTTACCAGAAAAACACTGAGTGGCCACTCAGGAGTGAATGGCCATGTCTGTGAGTGCTCATGTACTTGTTCCCAGGCATGATTGCATTACTGTCTAGCTTTCCCATCATCACCGATCGAGCTCTGGACGATATAAAGAGAGGAGAGGAATGCACTGATGTAAAAGCTTTTTATTGGGCGATTGTTTTAGATAGGATGGAAGAATTGCTGATTGTCCATTTGCAGTAATCTAACTTTGCATACTTTAGTATGAGAGTACTGACCTGCTCCACCCTGATATCACGAGTTGGTCACTTTCAGGCCTTCTGACTGGGCTCACTGGTCGTTCCTCACATTCGACTGAAAACTTAAGTTGATCGTGTCGTTTATGGTGGTGGCTCCAACACTGTGGACCGCTCGTCCTATAGACTTACGTTCTAAAGTCTCTGTTAATGCCTTTAACAAGCAGTTGACTCTTTGATTCAAACTGGCCTTTGCCTCACCTCATGCTGTCTAGTGTTTGGTTTTAAATGGTCTTATTTCTAATCATTTTACGCTTGTAAATCACATTGTGAGCTTTACTAAATAAACTTTACTTACTGCCTCACTGTGGGAAGGAAAAAACCTGAAACCTCATCAGCATTTGTGGGAAGTTTACATAATGTTTTGAAAAGCGTGTTCTTGTGCAGCATGAGTTTCCAGGTGTGTGTGTGTGTGTGTGTGTGTGTGTGTTTTTCCCTGAAAGGCTTTCTGTCTCCGTGTGTCACCTGTTCTGCCAGCGAGGTTGCCTCCCCTCCTGGGGGCCGGTTCCCATATGGGCTTGGCCCACGGTTTCCTGTTCTTGTCATCTGATACCTGTCACCTGCTAGTCAGGGAGCCAACTCCCGCTTTGTCTCTCATTGGCTCCATCCTTTTCCTGTATTTATGTCCTCCCTTCTCCCCCCACACCCCCATTTCACTCTCCATGAGGTGGGGAGGCTAACATGAAATAGCAGTGAAATGCTGTGAAATTTATAAAAAATTGGCCAAGTACTGACAAGCTACGTCTTACACTGCCAGTAGACCCTGAACAGATTCTGGGACAAAACACTGTAGCCCCCTCACTCCCTGTCCAAACACAATACACACAACTAGTTAAGAGCAGGAAATGTCTGTCATCCAGGAACAGAGTGGAGCTGAACTGCAGTATTCTTCTCTTTGGCAGCGTAATTGTAGAGCTGTTGCCCAGCATATTGTATTTTTGTGTGTGTGAGTGTGTGTTTTTCTAATCACACTTTGTCGAGCAGAAACCTGACAATACACATCAAGGAAGGTTTTGTGTTCTCTCATTTTCTACATGTTTATGCAACAGCTTGGAAACAGGAGTGGAACAGTGCTACATTTACAAAAATCCCAGAAGTAGAAATTACTTGGATTCTTCAATTTAGTATATTAATCTGATTTTAATTGACACACAAGGGTTGTGTTCAGCAGTGGGCCAGGTTTAATTTGAATTAAGGTTTAGGCTCCAAGCTTACAGACGTCTGTGCACCCTATGTTCAGAAAGTATCCCTAAATAATGAGTTTATTCAAATTCCTTCCCCAAAAAACCCAAGTCGGCAAGTTCCTCAAGAGTCTTCCCCCTTTACAGCGTCTGAGAAGCGGACTGGCTTTTGACAGGGCAGACAGTGGGTCCTCTGTGGGCTGCAGAACCAAGGACTGATTGAGGGGTTAATAACTGCATAGTTTTGGCCTGTTGCTCTTGCGGTTCCTCGCCAGCCTGTCTTGTCTGTCCATCTGAACAGCAGATGACACACAACGCGGCCGGCGGAGGAATGTTTCTGAGCGCCGTCCCATCCAACAACCAGGCTCTTGTGAAAGCACTTGGCATGGCCACAGGACTCTCCTCAGCTCTCCTATCGAGAGCCACTTTGTTTGGTTGGCGTTGCCATGGTGAGGAGGAGTTTTTGGGAATATGATGGTGGAATGCTTTTAAAACCGGTTGTGGAGACGGCCCTCATCTGAATATAAAGGATGTTTTGTATGTTCACTTTACAGTTGTGGTTAAGGCAGAGAGCGAGACAACATTTAAAACACTAATAACAGTAATCTTAACTTATCGTGTTTGAGCCTGCAGTTACACTTTATCCATCCATCCATAACGTTAGATGATCGCACTCCTCTGTGTCCATTGTTGGTCTAAAAATGACAGTAATGGTGAAATGTTAAGTTGGTTAATTGATTAGGCGATTGACAAGAAAATTGATGGCAAGCATTTTGGTAATCAGTTTATCCTCTTAATTTATTTTTCAAGCAGCTATCAGGTTCCAGCTTCTCCTATGTGAGGATGTGCTGCTTTTCTTTTGGCTAACAGTGTACTACAATGGAGTTTTTTTTTTTAGGTTTTGAACAGTTGGTCTGCAAATATTATTTGAATATGTCTGTTTGAGCTTTGGCAACTAGACTAGACATTGAGTCAAAAAAAAAAGAGAAAGTGAAAATAAGTCTTTCTGTATATGGTTTTAAAAGCATTGCAAACAGTATAATTGTTAAACATTGTCCTCTGATCCATCCTGGCTGCATCATTGTTTTTAACACAGTATGATGTGTATCCACAGCCTTTCTTCAGACTACTGAACCTACGGAAGCTCGGCCTGAGTGACAATGAGATCCAGAGACTCCCTCCTGAGGTGGCCAACTTCATGCAGCTCGTGGAACTGGACATCTCCAGAAACGGTACATGAATGGGAGGGGGGAAAAAAGCTCCCTGTGTCAGTTGCTCTACCACCTCTGCGTGCAAGACCACCCATTAACACATTAACACACAATTACTTTAATGATGTGTCTTAAATTAACCCTCAGCTCTAATCTAGACCACCCAAAAACCACACAAAACAACAAGGGGGCTGGGTCTGTAAATATGATATGTGGTGTTAAGCAACAGGAGCAGAGCCAAATCAGTTGGAGAATCAACACACTAGCAGCAGTCATTAGATAAATATTAGCTAGCCGTCTTTGCCAGATTATCCAGTCTACCCCCAGGCACAACAGACATTCATATATTCGTGAATCTCCATGCCCTTGATATATTCCTATAAGACAAGCAAAGATATAAATTCAGCACCACAATGCAGCCAAAAATAATATTGCATACAAGCTACAGAGACTGTAAGGTGAAACATTTGGGGCTGCTATTTCATTTCTGCTACTCATCAGCTGTTACAGACAGACACACACACAAATATCTTGCCCTCTCGGTGTCCTTGCATGCTGCACACACATACACTGATACTCAGTGGCAGGAAGGGCCTACATGATAGATATAGGACATCTGCTCCGCTACACACTGCATCAAGTGCTGTGGGAGCAGTGGCCTGTAAGGGCCTTTCCCATCTGTCAGCCTGCTCCCGCTGCAGGACAACGCTGAGCCAGATAAGCATCATAGGCTGCTCGGTTCTGTAGGGATTTCTCAACCTGCACCTGCAGGGTCCAGTGGTAAAAGTTCTTTACCTTTTTCAGGCCAGCAGGTCAGAGTTCCTCTTGTGCCTTCTGTATTTGCACCAGACTAAGCAGGCAAAACACAAGTTGAACTGATGTCTTTATCATTTTATTTTTATCATATCAAACTGTTGGTAAGGAGCAATTATGTGTCCCACCAACAGTGCAAGCATTGATCCATTTAACACCAAAGTAAAAAACTGCTTTTAAGTTTCTTGCTTTGCAGTACAATATACTTGATTGAACTATGGATGACAGAACAGATGCAAAATAGATTAACAGCCCTATAATCAAAGAAGCCATTACACCGCCCAGCTCTGAACTTTAATTTATCTGTTATGAATCTGTCTTTCCCTCCTTTTTTTAATTTATTTTTTTATCTCTCCCTTAATTTCTGCATTTTACCATACATGGGAAGGCCATCCTGTTAAGACTGAAGAACTGAAGTAACAGGGGAACAATGAAGTTAATTATGACTTGGATGAAAGCAAATAGCTATAAATGGGATTGCTCTCTAAATTTTACTTGATGAAGGGAAAATGCAGATGTAACAGTAACCTCTGACCGTGCCCTCTCTGGTGAAACATCTCTTTTTGTCTCGTTTTTCCATTTCTTTCTCTCACTTCCCTGCTCATCTGGTTGTGATTACAAGGAACTTAAAATGATGTGCTCTGTAAAATATGACCGCTGCCCGTAGCTCTACATCTGTGTCTCCATGGATCTGACTTCTGTCCCCCCCACCACCACAACCCACCTCCTCTTTTCTCCTGCAGACATTCCTGAGATCCCTGAGAGCATTAAGTTTTGCAGGGCCTTGGAGATCGCAGACTTCAGTGGAAATCCCCTGTCCAGGTAAGAGTAGAGTGGGAAGAGCCCATCACTCTATTCATCTTCCCTGTGAGAAAATGTGATGCCCAAATGCAAGAAGTAGTACAGCTCTGATAAATGACACCAAGCATGATCAGTATCATTTATTTGCTTTAATTGCATTGCTTACCTGTTTTACACATGCAGTGACTCATATTGTGTGTATACATTTTTGAATGCACTTTATGCTGTTTTGTATCTGCAATTCTTGAATCTTGAATGACTAAACAAGGGCCTATATGAACCACAAGTGTCACGTTAACCTAACATGGATACTAGTTAATCCCTCTTAAGTTAAAATGTTAGTTGTCTTGCCACATCCCCAATCCGTTATGTGTTTTAACTTCATCGACATAAACGACTCACAAGAGCTTTTGATGCTGAATGTTTTAACAGATGGGAATATGTGACGGCCAATAGCCTAGTGTGTGTGTGTGTGTGTGTGTGTGAGTCAAGTGATCCCATGCGTTGTACAACAAGAGTTTCCCTCCACTATTTTCCCTCCTGTCTTTCTTTTTCAGATTGCCGGATGGTTTCACTCAGCTCCGAGCGTTGGCACACTTGGCACTCAATGATGTGTCGTTGCAGACGTTGCCCAACGACATTGGAAAGTATGTACAGAGACACATACACAATGGCTCATAGCAGTTAATTTGATGGGATAAAATGAAATAAAAAATCTTATGCTATGTTCTGATCCTGCTTTTGTCAAAATTATAAGAGCTCTCTAATCAAGTCATCACACTGGTCTGTGTTGCCACACTGAAGGCCTTTGACTCAGTTAGGTCCTTGAGACTGATCAGATTTTCAAGGAGTGAAATTCTGTTGCCCAGTGGGCTCTGTGGCAGCTGGGCTCTGGGCCTCTGCTGTTCTCAGACAGATGGAGGAGCCCCTCTCCATGCCAGGCAGCCCAGACGAACAGACTAGCCATCTGACTAACCAACCTGCCTCCCCTCTCCCCTCTCCCTTCTCTTACTCTCCCACCCTCTCTTCTCGTCGCCTGCTAACGCCTACCCCTCTTTCTCTTTTACTTGCCTCCTTTTCACTGCCGCTCCTCCTTTTTATAGCCTGGCCAACCTGGTGACGCTGGAGCTCAGGGAGAACCTGCTCAAGTCTCTTCCCACGTAAGTGTCATATGCATCATCTTATCTAATTCCCCACCCTCACAGCAAGTGCAATAAGCCCCTGTTGACAATGCAAGGTCCCACAATACATTAGGATTTGTTACTGATGTTTAACTTTTTATTACATTTACTGTTAAACATCAACATTAAACTCGACGTGAGCTCTCTCGCACCTCCAAATGCAATAGTTTTGGGAAATAATTTATAGCAGTGAGGAAGAACATGACAGAAACTCCCCAGTTACGTGGAGTGACGTGGCTTTAAAAACATTCTTTGAATATGCCAAGACATGTGAATGACTGCTATGTTGTAATCATTTGCAAAGCTCCGCTCTTAGGTCTTTCAGGGCGCATATTTGTGTGACTTACTGCATGTGCTATTTTGTGTGCATATTCAGGTCGCTCTCTTTCCTGGTGAAACTGGAACAGCTGGACCTGGGCAGCAATGAACTGGAAGTTTTGGTAAGTCAACAACTCATCATCCCCTCTAACCATGCAATAAGATAAACACTAGATCACTCATTGTACTGTGGAGTGCTCAGACAAGACCCTTAGTTGTGCCTTTTTAAAATAGTCTTAAACACACACACACAGTGACATCTATTACAAATATCTTCCTCACACCCCCACCACATTAATAATGATCCAAAACACGTTTACCTCGCCAAGCACAGCAGAGCCGGTCTGTCGGACCCGAGGCCCTGCGTGCACCGTGTAGCCTGCAGTGAGTGTTGCTTTAAGCCTGGGAACACCCACCTGCCTCAACAGGAGAGGATAAACAATGTCTCATGACCTGACAAGGGCGGAGGCAGAGCAAATAGTTGACATTATAATGAAACATTGCCTGCCTGCATTCTCCTTAATTTAATTTATCACTTAGACATTTAATTTAAGGTCATTTTTGGAGGCTTCAGCTCAACAAGTCCAACATAGCAGACGCATACATGTTTACTGAATGAATTTTGGAGTTTCAGCAAAAAGAAATGGCTGTATTGAAAGATCCTGTTTCTTGAATCATTTAGCTATTAACAGTATATAGATAGAAAAATCACATAGATCAATTTAGATAATTTATTTTGTCAAACTGATCATTTTTAGTCTGGCAAAAGTCATAAATATTGTAAATCTAAAGCTAAAATCATTGTTTTACCACATACTGACATTAAAACATTACATGTTTCAATCATCTGATTAATCTACATGTATTTAGGGCACATGCTTTCTGTTTGCTGTGCTTCAACCTCTCTGAAAGTTTTCAAATGGTGCAGCTTTCCACTGACTGTTGCGGGTGTTGATCAGAGCACACAATAACAAATAACCAACTGCCCCGTTGCTCTCCCTCCTTTTCTTCTCTGCTTCTTCCCATCTTTTAGCCGGATACCCTTGGTGCTCTTCCCAACCTGAGGGAGCTATGGCTGGACCGTAACCAGTTGTCCTCATTACCACCAGTAAGTACAGTTTAATACAAAAGTTTTTAAAGCTGCTGTGTTTCGAGAACTCTGCACTTTTTCTTTTGAAATATGTGTAAAACTACATTAGACATATGTAGAATTAACTCCCAATGGCTCACTGCAAGTGGTATTTATTGTTTGTGTGTTTAGGAGCTGGGGAACCTCCGGAGACTGGTGTGTCTGGATGTGTCCGAGAATCGTCTGGAGGAGCTTCCCTCAGAGCTGAACGGCCTCCTGGCTCTCACTGACCTGCTGCTCACACAGAACCTGCTGGAGGTCATCCCAGACACCATAGGTGAGAGACACAAGGGGGAAAGAAAGATTTTCTCAGACTAAAAACAGCCCTGCCTTTAACGGCACAGGGGGCTGCATTGGTGGAGGCTTGTGTAAGGTACCAGTGAGATATTTTAAAAATGATCCACGAGGTCCAATTTAAGTAACAGTAAAGGTTTATCAGATGCCAAAACATTTTGCAATGGTTTGTAATATTTACAAGATTTACATCTCTGGAAAGCAATTATTTTACCTTTCATAATGATTGCAAAGTAAACAGCAGAAATATGGCGTTTACACTGCAAGAAAAAATCCAACGGGAAAGTATTTGATTGGCTTATGCAGTGCCTTGCCAGATGATGATGCGCTGCTTTGCGCATAAAGTTAAGCCTGGTTCAACTTTATTTTTCTGGATGACCCTGCTTTGTCTTGCCGGAGCCCTTGCAATGCAAATAACGAGAGAAGGCTTAAGTCAATCTGAACTAAATGACAAATCTAAGTAAAATTATGTCAGAAATGGCGTTGGACACTGTCAGTAATAATCAATAACTAAATGACGAAGTAGCAACATTTGCTGTCATCTCTCTATTGTATCCATCTTCACATTTCATGAAAGTATAATTTATACGTATATTAGGATATTGTCAAGTGTTTCTCAAACAGAAAGACAGAAATAAGGCAAATATTAATATAGTTTGATGCTTAGGGAAAGTTTGCCATCTAATTAGGCAGCACTAGATTAAGTAAACCCTGGAGCAGGCCCTCTGTCTGCAGGAGATGGTGCTCTGTTAAAAAAGAACAGCACTGCCCTCTACTGGAAAAATAATGCCTGTGAAGTTTGGCACAAGCAATAAAAGCAGCTTGTTTTGTTTTTCTGTTTTTAATTGAATTTATTTTATTCCAGAGCATCGGCCAAAATTAAAATGACAAAATGTCACATCCAGTTGGTGTCTTGTTGCTGCAGTTTGTAAAATGGTATCATGCTTTGTTAACTGGTATTGTGTTTTGTGTCCAGGCTGCCTGAAACAGCTGTCCATCTTGAAGGTGGACCAAAATAGACTGACCCACCTGACTGATTCAATAGGAGAGTGTGAAAACCTCACAGAACTCGTCTTGACAGAGAACCTTTTACAGGTAGGGACATATAAACTACCTACAGCAGCTTCGCACTGACCCCTTTTGGATTTATGTATGCACATTAATACTTAAGTCCAATTAACAGCTGTTAAGCTTCATTATCATTTTCACTGATTATTAACGGCTTCTGTCTCACTCCTTCAAAGTCACTTCCTCGCTCGCTGGGCAAGCTGAAGAAGCTGACCAACCTGAATGTAGACCGTAACCGCTTGGGCAGCGTGCCCAAAGAGCTGGGCGGCTGTGCCAGCCTCAACGTTCTCTCTTTGAGAGACAACCGCCTGGGCAAACTGCCTGCTGAGCTTGCAGATGCCACTGAGCTGCATGTGTTGGATGTGGCTGGAAACAGGTAACCTCACTTAACACCCTGAACTGTAAATAAAACACGGCAGCTTTTCATGCTGAGGTTAAAGATTTCAATATAATGCCTTCCCAAAATGGATTTTGGGTGTTACCAGCATCCTGCGCAGACATTGTTCCTCCAGTTTTACTTTTTGCTTTTAATTTGATCAGGATATAATCTCATGTAGATGTATTTTCAAAGCTTTGCTGCTAAGTAATATGTTATGTATTGAAAAACCTCAAGCAAATGCATTATTGTCAATGGGTCTTTAGTAACTTCTGAAAGGTTGTGGCGAAAGCATGGGTTCTGCATAATTATGAAGGTTATTCCTGTGAATTTATCAGGACACCTGATATATAAATGCTTATTGAATATATCTAATTATACTGTATATATATTGAGAGTTTTATGATCACCAATAAATCCAATGATTTGTTGTATAATGCTTTTAGTTAATGAAAAGGAAATGTTGTGGCTCATTTGACCTCATCCCTTCCTTTGTCCAGATTACAAAACCTGCCTTTTGCCCTGACAAACCTCAATCTGAAGGCCATGTGGCTCGCAGAGAACCAGTCACAGCCAATGCTCAAGTTTCAGACTGAGGACGACGAGCACACAGGAGAGAAGGTGTTGACCTGCTATTTGCTGCCCCAGCAGCCTTCTCCGAGCCTAGGTAAGCAGCCCTTAGTTAATGCAATGTTCGTAAAAACACATATAGGAAAATTCTTGGTCAGTCACTCAAATGTGCACGATCTGTAAGTCTTCTGTACATGTGGCCTATATAACTTGATTGTAGCCACAATAGTATTAGTTTTTTATTTAATTATAAAGTTTTATAAATCATAGCAGCTGAGATACTAAGATTTGTAGATTGGCTGTATTAGTTGTTGAGTGGCTGAGCTTCGCAATTTGTTTTTATATAGTTTTTGGTTGGTTAGCCAACTAGTTGTAGCTTGTAAACCACATATGGGTTGGAAGATAGAATCTGTTCCTGAAGCGGTCTATTGAAAGGTTTAGGCTATACACAGTTTGACATGTTTCTCTCCTCCTCAATTTCCCTTTGTCTTCCACAGAGAACTTGCTGCATAACAGTGTGGATGACAGTTGGACAGACAGCAACCTGAACCGAGTGTCAGTCATTCAGTTCCAGGAAGAGACCAAGGCTGAGGAGGAGGATGATGAGGCTGCTGCAGAGCGCAGAGTGAGGAAACAACAACAAAACAGTGTCACTTTATGTCCTCTTCATGTCATTTTGCTAATTGTGATTAAAAATTGTATTCCATCAAGTGAGACATCATCAAGTCCAAATGAATGTGAATTATCGTACTGTTTTTGTTTCCGAATTCATGGTTTTAATCAGTTTGGTTTTTTTTTTCCCCAGGGTCTCCAGCGCAGAGCCACGCCGCACCCTAGTGAGCTGAAGGTGATGAAGAAGGTGATTGAGGAGAGGAGGAATGAAGCTTACACATCCAGGCCTGATGGAGAAGAGTCTCCTAATCCACAGGTGCATACATCATACTGTATAATGATTATCATATCACGTCTGTCAGCAGCCAGTTATCTTTTAATTTAATGTAGTTGTGGTAATCCATTAGTCACCTGTGTACCATAGGACACAAAAAGCAGTTTTCCACTCTGTATTTTCACACTGTTTAGCATTACCTTTATAGACCTCACTGAACAGATTATGTTATTCACTTGTGAACCTGAATTAATCAAACTGATGCTTTTGGTTTTAGGAGAAGCGGCTCAGTGACCTCTCCAATCAGAGCCGTGACTCCCAGGTGTCCAATAGCACACTGTCGGCCACCTCCCATGAGGACAGACAAAATGTGACTGCAGCCTCGCACAGGGAGGATCTTGTAGATGGCCACTCCCCTCAGGAGGACGAAGAGCTGGATGAAATGGAGGTGGAGTACATTGAGGTGAATGTTTAATACATTTTATCCATAACACTGTGAACATCTGTTTATATTTAATTGGCTGAAACAAAAAAGTGGTGGAACCCCCCTTTTTTTAACCAATTATATTCCAACCGTTCTTGTCTCCAGCCCACTGTGCACTTTGCAGAGGAGCCCATCTTCCGTGGTGGCGATGAGGACGACGAGGAGGATGGTGAGAGGAGTGATGTGGAAGACGAGAGGCCGGCTTTTCCCGCAGAGAAGCAGCGTCTGATCAGAAAGGACACGCCACACTACAAGAAGCACTTCAAGATCACCAAGCTGCCCAAGCCCGAGACGGTGGCTGCGTTGCTGGAGGGCTTCAGTCCCAACTCCCTCAACTCTCCGACACAGGCTGCTGAGAATGAGCAGGATGAGGAGGAGGAGGAGGAGGAGGAGGAGCAGGAGCAGGAAGAGCAAAGTATATGCACCCCTCAGCATCATCACAGAATGGAGGCACTTGAGGACAGCCGGCTCCAGGTCAATTCCAGTCAAGTAAAGGTAAAGGAGCGTTTCCAGCACTGGTGGGGTGCAGTGCAGGACTGTGAGGGTAGCTTGCTTAGGAATTGTTACATATTATAAGTAGAAAAACATTATTTTCCTCATCAGCATTTGTACACATATTTAGAAATCCAGTGAATCTATACTGTAAGTAAGTGGTACAACAGAGCATACGGTATGCAGAGACATTGTATCCTAGGTACATCACACACCACAATCAGTTAATTAGCTTGTTTTTATGCTTAAAATATTCTGTTCATGTTGTAAGAATATGAAAATGAATATATATATTTTTTGCTTGCTCATTGCCTCTATGCAAACACGTAATACTGTGTGCATAGAGCGCCCTCACCAGCTTGCAAGTTGCATTCAGTTTGGAGTGGGCTGCTAGCACTTGTTAAGGATGTGGTATTGCATGCAGGGTCACTGTGGAAATGAAGACATTTTCCCTTGAGCTTGTAAATCAAGGGGAGTGTTTTTCTCTGGAGTTGATTTTTGTGGTTTAACCATAAACTCTCCTGCAGTCTCGCCTCAGAACAAAGGGCTACCTCAGAACTTTGCTTTGTCTTCGCTCTGTCCCAAAGAGATCCTTCACCAAATGCCTACAAACACTCCGATGTCACTGATGATTATACTCTACAATCCCACACATCATTTAGATTTCTTTGACACAAACAACAGATATACAGATATTGTCATACTTCACACAGATTAGATATATTTATTTAAACTTTCTTGTTTCCCCATGAGATAGCTTCCTGATCTTTATTTATGCACAAGTAACATACCAGATGTCCCTTTAACACAAGCAGCTGCAGGCCTTTCTTGCACAACACCGGCCTACTTCAGCACTAAACCTCTCACCATATTTGTCAGCCATCTCCTGATTTTATTGAATAATGACATTTTCACACTCTGCTCTTATAACATTGTGCATGCTTGTAAGTGTGACTGGAGTGTCTGAAGTCTTGATGCTGCTTATGAAAATGAATCCCCTTATTGATCATTAGTATTTTTTGGGGGAGACTAAATGAAATATTTTGATTTATCATGCTGATTTGTAGAAATCCTTTTTAACACTGTGATCAAACATCATCATCCAAATCTGTTTTGTGTGCGTTTTATGAATGTGGGTCTATTTGTGTGGCTGACCTCGAACCAACCAGAACATATATTGGCAGAGCTGGAATGTGAGATCCAATGAGCCTTGTTATTTGTTTCATTCCTGATAATAATCTCTTATGGCATGTTTAAATTATTGTAGAGAGTAAAATGCTTCATTGTTCTTGCAAATTTAGCAAGACAAAATTATTTTTAATATTGCTTCAATTGTGTATTATGTTGAACTGTAAATTAATTTTTCAAAGTCAGCTTGTAAGCCCAAAGTGTGCTATAACCGTTTATTTTTTTTTATTTTTCTTTACAAAAGTAGGCCTGTTGTCTAAATTAAAGCTTGCAACTGGAGGAATTTGCTTTCTGTGGTGTGGAGGCTGGGCTTATTCTGGTATGGGAGCTTTTGCCTTCTCTTGTGCGCTCTCTCTACACTGTGTGTTTTGCACTGTGGCTCAGCTCCTTGGTCTTGTCTTTCCATCTCTGCCTGTATTTGCTTCTGGTGGCTGGGGAGTGAGTGTGGGATTACTTCTGCTTCAAGGTGGTCCATGCCGGTGGACGTGAAGTCCCACAACCTGCAAGCAGACAGTGGAGTGTGTGTTTTGGTGAAGTTTATGGAAAGTGTGAGTTTTTTGTGCGGGCGAGTGAGCATATTTTAATTTTTGGCCTGACTAATCCGCATGCCTCTCGCTGGTTCCTGTCCTAACAGGGGGTGTCATTTGATCAAGTCAATAATCTGCTGATTGAACCTGCTCGAATTGAGGAGGAAGAGGTCTGTACATACTCTTTCCCGTCCAGTCTGTCTCTCTGTGTCCCCCAACTCACCCACTCATTCACCCACCTGTGTTCAGAGGTAGATGAAGTACCCACATGGTTAATCCAAGCCAATCATCAGGGACCCTCTAACCACAACTCATTTATGAGATGGCCAGTGTGGCAGAACCTGGACGCAGGAATGAAGTAACCACGTTTTATTTATTACATGTATTGTTTTTTCACCGGACAGCAGGAGTTCAAACACTTCCAACACGGTGTGAGTAAACTTGCAATGAGTTGTTCAAAAATGTGCTGTGTTTAAGTTCATCCTGGGAAATTGTACTAGCTTTCCTGACAATAAAACCATTTTTATCTCAGTTTTATCCATTTATCTAATCTGCTCCAGTAAGCATCCCATAGTATTTGATCTAGCCCTTTATGCACTGAGGTTGGCATTGTGGTTCCTCACAACTTGTAGACTTAATTTCAGATCTTGCCTACTTAGTCAGTTAATGCTACCATAAAAGGACCATAAAAACCACTAATTGATGATTAATTAATCTTTATTTATAGAACTGAACAGTTAATCGAAATGTTATAGAAATCACAATATGTGTGTCGAAACACCATTTTCAATTAAATGTTGTCGAGCTGCAGTGATGTCCTGGTCTACACATCTTATTCTAGAGATTTAAGAAAACATCTTTGTTCGTTCGAAAGTTTTAGTTTCACACAATTATTATGTTTTAACCACTGAGTTTGGTTTGGCCAAGTAAATGTCAAGTGCATCTTATATCTGAGTAGCAGCGTACTCTATAATGCTACATGACTTTTGATAATATCCATATCGGTGCATGTAATGTAGAATTGAGAAGTGTGTTTTTGCAGTGTTAAATCTAAACAACGTCTTTGTACTTGAAACGACAAATATTAGTTTGTTGGAAACCTTGACCCTCCCAAGTACTCATTAGTCCCCTGGATGCCCATGTTTGTCTGTAGACTCAGTAATATGAATCCCAGTCCGGCATCAGGTTCTGCCACACTACGTCTCTGCTGTACCTTTCCTCTGCTTCTGCTGCTTTGCTCCTTTTCGTCCTCTGTCCTCGCTGTGTTGCCCTGGAATGAATGGGCTGGTGGCTTTGTGATGAGGCTGCTTCTCCAGCTTCCTCCAGGATTTTTTTGTTTTTGTTTGTTTGTTAGGTACATAGTAGGTAACTCAACTGCCAACCAGAGGAGGAGCTCCAGATTGAAGAAGATGGATGACGCTGACTTCTCAGTAGTCTAATTTTAATATTATAAACCTGTATAGACTGTCAAGACTTAAATTTTTAGTAGATGACAAACTGGATATTTGTATTGTCAATTTTTTTTTTTTTCCATTTTCAAATGTCTTTTGTTTGCATGTTTTTGTTCATGTTTTAATTCTCACCTACGCTGTTTAGTCAACCTGTACTGAAACTTTGTTATAAAGTGTTATTTAGTATCACAAAGTTAAGTATCTGTGTGCTCATACACTGTATTTAAGTCTGCTTATCTTATGATATATCCTATTACAACAAATGCCTGCGGTATCTACACTACAACGTTAAAAGCGTCTCCACATCCAGGACACAGCACTTTTTTCATCTGTTACTCCTGACATTTCCCTTTCCCTTCCACCTCTCCCTCATTTGTCTCCATTCCTCTCCCTTTTTGCATGGCTTGCAAGAATACTGAATATTCAAAGTCTGTTAGGACTTATTAGTGTTTACCTCACAGTCCCCTCTTCCGTATACACAAGACACATTGTATGTTTTCAAGAAGGGTCACCCCTCTGCGAGTCCAGTAAAAGAGGACTTCATAGTGTTTGTGTTTGTTCGCTTTATGTCTGAAGTCTGCTGTCAGTTAAGTGGTTACTGCTAGATGACAAATTAGTTTTTACCATATTCTTACGAAATGTCTTTAAAGCAAAATTCAAGGCTTAAAATCATCAACTTAAACTGACATTAGGCTCCAGACAAGTCAAAGTATCTTTCCATCCATCCGCTAGCATGACATGATGCTGCTGTGAGAAATTCATTGACGCCACCTACTGGCAGAAAGAGGGAGGTCACCCATAACTTACATCATCATAAAGTTTAAGGTGAAATAAATGGCAATTAAGTATTTTCTCTTTGTTTTGTTTTTTTTACAACAACATTGTGGGCTCTCCTCCCCCTCAATCTGTCCTCAGTGGTGTTTAGAGGGTCTTCACTAGTAGTTGTGCTGACTCCCCCCTCCTTAACTTGCAGCACACCTTGATCATCCAGCGACAAACAGGTGGCCTGGGTATCAGCATTGCTGGAGGGAAAGGATCTACACCGTACAAAGGAGATGACGAGGTAAGATGTGTGCCTAAAATCTGGATATGTTTAAAAAAAAAAAAAAAAAATCAGAAGCCTTGATTATTCAAATTCATTTTATTTTTTTTGTCTATGTGTCCAGGGAATCTTCATCTCAAGAGTATCTGAGGAGGGTCCGGCAGCCAGAGCAGGGGTGAAAGTAGGAGACAAACTCCTAGAGGTGAAGCATTTTCTGTTCATCTTTTGTTTTTAGCGACTCTTGCCTCTGTTTTATAGGAAGATGTTTCATTAAACAGCATTGCAAGTCAAGTCACTCTAAACTCATTGTTTGTCTCAGGTGAATGGAGTGGACCTCCATGAAGCAGAACATCACACAGCAGTTGAAGCTCTTCGTAGCTCTGGTGCTACAGTTTCCATGACAGTGCTACGGGAGCGTATGGTGGAGCCAGAGAATGCCATCACCACCACGCCACTGCGGCCAGAGGATGACTACTTCCCGCGGGAGAGACGGAGCAGTGGCCTCGCCTTCAACTTGGAGACGACTCCCAGTGGGCCTCAGCAGCGACTCTCTACCTGCCTGATCCGAAACGACAAGGGGCTGGGATTCAGCATCGCAGGGGGTAAAGGCTCCACGCCCTACCGCACAGGAGACACGGTGAGACATGCAAACACGCCCATAACACCCCTCTAATAAAATTTTTTTTTGCAAGGGCTTTGGAGAGCCTTGCCTACTCGTGATGAAGAGTAAAGACAATAATGAAGAATGTAATATTTTGGTTGCATGGTCACAAGTCACAAGTGTAGAAAGTTGACCTTTAGCCGTTATACTCTTACATATTTGACAGCTTCCTCCCAGAAAAGGGCCTTGTATGTATTATGGTTTCTGAGGGGGCGGGGATGATATGGCCAAAAATGTTATGATAAAAAAATCTGATTATTCGATATCGATAATTATCACGGTAAATGTCAAGTAATTTTTTCTCTCAAGTTTAAAGTCTGATTTTTGCTCCCGAACAAAAGCAGATCAAAAAACAGACCATTAATTGTGTTTTTTTCACCTTATAAATCTGAAGTAGAACATTCAAAACAATTATGATAAAATCAACAAATAGGCATGATTAAAATTAAGTACTCTTTTTTGTGTCCCTTTTCCTCAACAAAATAAATATCTTAAAAGAAAAATGAAGTGCTAATTTGTTTGTGATTCAAGTGAATTATTAAATCAAACATTTATTCAACATTTGTTATTTTGTTATTGAGTAAAAATATCGCAATAATTATCATTATTGTTTTATTGCCCAGCCCGAGTTGAAATCAGTATCATGATAATAAGAACTGTTATGGCAAATGTTTGCAAAATCATAAAAAATAATCAAATTGATGCAATGATCTGTTCTATTGTTACATAAAACAAATGTGTTAAACAAAATAACTGAGTTTGTTAGTTTTTAATTCACTGATTTTTATATCAGATTTTTTTTCCTTTTGAAAGATAAAATATGATTATAATATCATCACAACACAGTTCACTGAAAGTTGATAATAAAGCTGAAGACACAATCTACCATACAACCACTAAATGGCAGATGTGGTCATGAAGTTGGGTCACTAAGTGCTTCCAGTAACCGTCTCGGTCACAGGGATCTGTCTTTTAACAGTGTCCATTCCAGCCGCAGCGTTTACAGTCATCACCAGGGAGACGGAGATATGAATAGCTAGGCCTTGATACCTGATAGGCCCGCTGTAATTGGACGGGGTGAGATGTATGTATATCTGGGCCACCGCAATACATGTGTTGCAACTCGTGCAGCACAGCGACCCCACAAAGAGGAAAGGACTCATAAACGTAGGATTTAGGCGGGTCTGACTGTAAGTCTTGCCTCACTTTCAAAAGCTTTTTGAAATGGATGCAGTGACTTGGTTGTTGGTTGATCTGAGGGGGAGGTGCAGTAGACTTTGCTCCTGAATGTGTTTACACATTTTGTTTTGGTGAGGCAGTCTACGAATTCAGCTGGGTTTTATTTGGTAAAACTAAGTTGTGTAATTTGTGTGAGCAAACTATGTCTCGGGGGTCATGATTTTGTATAGGCTGCTTTTGTTGTAGTTGTAATCAAACATGATGCTGTTGATCAGTTGTAATGTATGTGAGGGTTTGTTTGTTTATTTGTACAACTTTATATCACAGTTTGTGGTACTGTGGTCTACCAATATTTCAGAACCACCTATATAAAACTTTCCAGTGGTAATGAATAAAGGGATTCTATTTTTGGCTCAGATCCACTCATATACTGACTGACTGGCAGCTCCCCTTCCTCACAGCTCACAGTCAGCATAGTAATTCATCACAGCGTTGCAGCCTGTTGCACAAGACCCTTTTACCACCGACTGCCTAATGCGGCTCACAGGCAGGATATTACCAACATCTGTTTTATCTGTAGTTCTTAAAACTGAGTAGTAAATATCCACAAATGTTCATGAAAGTTTAAACATTTGACAGTGTCTCTCGTCTGTGTTTAGGGAATCTATATCTCTCGCATCGCAGACGGGGGAGCGGCACACAGAGACAGCACGCTGCGAGTAGGCGACAGGGTAATCTCTGTGAGTACTACACATCCCCTCCACATCTCCATCTGGGCATCATAGCAGTCACTGTGATCAAAGCAGGGTTTCCTTTACAGTGTTTTTCTCTTTCTCTTCATTAATTATCTCCAGGAGGGATTTAAAATAGGTTCAAACTGGATGCAGTATATCCAGACAAATGGACATTGGTGTTTTAGCTGTTATAGTTTAGTTTATGGGTGGCTAAATAAAAATTCACATAATAATCTAGATCTGGGGTCGTCTTCTCAGTTTTGCAGTGGGTGTGCCATCTTATGATAGGGCTGTACAATTAATCAAAATCTAGTTTGTGTTACGATTTTGGCTTCCAACCATTATGAAAACAAGATCGAGATAAAACGATCATTAAGCCACATTACGTTTCGATATTATGCTCTCATTTTGTTTTGTATTATAAATCCAGCACACCCCTTTCCTTTCTCAATCCTCCCTAAAAGCCCAAACTCACTCTCAGCGCACTGTGGCATGTTTAGTTCAGCGCAATGACCGGGGGTTATAACTGCTACTCATTGGTCACCGTTATTAGCTCAGGCCTATGGCATTTTACACTGCATAAATTAGCCGAGCCGGTAGCTGCTTTTTCTTCTACTCACAGCTTAACAAATTACATATAATTTATACTGAAATTATAAGTTATGTAACGTAATGAATTGTCGTCAGCTCAGTGGTTCACCTGTTTATTTCATGGGCTATTTTGGGGTAATGCATATATAATTTTAAAAGTTCAATAAATTAATGATGTTTCCTAAGTCAATGAGTAGTTATGTTTAATAATCAGGATTTCAACATTGACAATATTATCGTGATTATGATTTTTGCAATAATCAAGCAGTTCTACACAATACATGTAAAGGAAACTCTTCATGTCATCATTGCTATGTTTTAATATTTCAATTGAATGTATGTACCCACAACACTGATCTCATTGCTCATCTGAAGTTTTGTTAGGTCCCATGCTGAAAACATGCAGAAAATGAACACATCAAAACCTTAAGTTGGCATCTGACACAGAATACTAACACAGTCCTCAAACTAATTCTACCCCAGAGCCGCTCCACAGATGTAAACTGTGTTGCTGTTTTGGTTAATTAGTGCAGCATTGAGCTTATATGTTTTGCTCCTCAGAGGCTCCTGCATGACCTCTCTGTGCTCTTCTTTCCTCTGCTGGTCACACCAAGCTTGGCTTTGCTCTCTTCCTTCTCTGCTCTCTGCATATTAGTAACTCTTTACTTGCATGTTTTTATCCATTCATGCCCTTTCGCACTTTTTCATCTTACTGTATTACTGTAAACAGACTGATGATGGTTGATTTTGACACATCCAGAGGTTCCTCTCCCAGTATGCAGAATGTGAATCTGCACATATTCCTCTCTGGGAATCGCACAAAAAGCTTCCTGAATTATCCTCTTTGCTTTCTTTACGGATTTCCTCTCCTCTTTCCTCCGGTGGTTTTTCAGCTCTATTCCTATTGTCTATTTTCTCTTTCGCACAATCTTTCCATCTGCATGCTCACTAATGCAATAAGTGCACCTCCTTGCCTGCTTGGTGGTGGGAATGGTGTTGGGGTGGAGTGGGCTGAGCCTGTTGCCACAGCGGCATATCAGCCGGTGGTAAGAGCTGGTACTGTCGGGTCAGTGCTGACCTCTGCTTGTCACTTTGGACCTGACTACAGTTTTTAAGATTGTGCATGCCTGAAAGCTCCCGTCTAATCTAAAAACCAAGATTAGCAGTAATCAGTCTTAATGACAAAGGCGCAGGTGTCTCAGGACTTCCTACTTGCCTTTGTTGACTTAAGATAAAACATTTTGGAGGAACTACACGCTTCCACTTGTGTTTTAAGTAAACAAAGGCAAGAAGGGGTGGAAAAGTATTTAACTAATTACACTGAAAGCACAAGCAGTCAACTAAATTAAACATACATTTAGGAGTTTCATTACTTGTAAGAAAAAAGCTTTGCTTGCTCGTAGCCTTTCTCCTTCCATCGGAGCTCTGCCAGCTTATATTGCCTGCAGCAGCCTGCTGTTAACCCATTCCCTCTTTTTCTCTGCCTGTTCCTGTTGCTCTGTATAGGTGTTGGGTTCTTCTTCAGATAACAGTAATCACTGTGGTTCACTCACAAACTCCCACTAAATTAAATATCAGAATGACAGGTTTAGATAAATATTTGGAAATAGTTTTGGGCGATGAGGTGCAGAATGTGATGAGAGCAGACTGATGGCAGCCTGCCATTTTCAGCATGTATTTGTTTTTGTTCATCGTGCCAATGGCAAATGTGGCCCATTGTCATTGGGAGCGTCCTGGTGGGCTGACACCCTCCGTGGTTGGTTTTATTGTCGATCCAGATCAATGGTGTAGACATGACAGAGGCCAGGCATGACCAGGCAGTAGCGCTTCTTACCGGCACCTCCCCCACCATCGCCCTCCTAGTGGAGCGAGACCCGAATGCACCAGTGGGCTCTCCAGGTCAATCCCGGGCACGAGCCCACTCCCCTCCACCCCCAGAACCCTCAGATTCACCAGACCAGGAGGAGGAAGGCCTTTCCCTTCATGGGAACCACCTGAGCCAGATGGAGGACGAGTATCCCATCGAGGTGAGACCTCTCAGGAGCGACTTCAGCGTGTTGAATAGCTTTTTATTTTTATTAGACCATGCTGTCGAAGTCTCATGAAGACATTCAGCGTTAATGTTTGTTAATTTGGCTCCTGCCTTATCCTTAATGCTGTCCAGATCCAGAGAAGATTGTGCATGGCATGGATGCTTGGTCTAATTTAAATAATGGTGTATGCGCCTGATTATGACAGCTGAATCGTTCCCAGTTATCAATAATGAAAACATATTCCTGTTTACATGGAAGTGGTTCGCGCCTATAAAGAAACACATGTGCATGCAGTAGGTTGGATTGTGTTTATTAGTCAAATCATAGACACAACAGGCGTTACCTGGGAGCTGATGTTTAATTGACTCACTTTTGTTGGATTTAGGCTTGAAATATTTTCTAAATCCCTTACTACAATATATTTTCTACCTCTAATCCTAACAGGAAGTGACCCTGGTGAAATCAGGCGGCCCTCTAGGCCTGAGCATCGTAGGAGGCAGCGATCATGCCAGTCACCCATTCGGCGTCAATGAACCTGGGGTGTTCATCTCAAAGGTAAAACTTTGAAAGAGTTGTTAAATTCCTTGTTTTCCAGTTTTGTGTTTTTGCGTCTCCTAAGATCCATCTTCATGTCTCCCTTTCCACGGCTCATCTCATCACCAGGTGATTCCTCACGGTTTAGCGTGTCAAAGTGGACTGCGTGTTGGGGACCGAATATTAGAAGTGAACACCATCGACTTGCGCCATGCCACACACCAGGAAGCTGTGCGAGCCCTGCTGGCCAACAAGCAGGAGATCCGTATGTTAGTACGGAGGGACCCTTCACCGCCTGGGATGCAGGTGAGGCCGTCAACTCAGACAAATATACACGCACTAACGCTGACATAACGTGGGTAAATGCTCACCTTACCGCGCCTGACGAGCTGTCTGTTTATCTTCGCAGGAAATTGTGATCCAGAAGCAGCCCGGGGAGAAGCTTGGCATCAGTATTCGTGGAGGGGCCAAGGGTCACGCAGGAAACCCCTTTGACGCCACAGATGAAGGCATCTTCATCTCTAAGGTTTCTGAAACTACCTTATGTCTTATGTCATACACCACCATTTTGCAATTAAGTGATTTCTTTGTAAAGTTTTTTTTTTTTTTACCACATTTGAAGGAGCTGGAGCCTTTAAGCGTTACATTTATACTATTCAACCAGTGTTGAGAGTTATGAAACAGTCTACTTTATTTAAAACCTGATCCCATCTATTTGAGAAGTATAGGCACACTCAGTCTTGACTGCTGTCTACAGAATAATAAAACTGGATATTAAGGACAAAGTTGTAAGAGTGATGTATAAGAAAAGACATTAACAGGCTATTCTATATTATCTATTCAATATATTCTAATGCATCGGCCTAATCACAGGTAATGACAGACAGTTGTAGTCATCAACTTATCCAGAATTTGGTTGATATTCATACAGGTTAGTTCGACCGGTGCAGCAGCAAGAGACGGCCGACTGCAGGTTGGCATGCGTATCCTGGAGGTGAACAATCATAGCCTGCTGGGGATGACGCACACGGAGGCAGTGCGAGTGCTCCGTGCTGTCGGAGACTCCCTGGTCATGCTGGTGTGTGACGGCTTCGACCCACGAAAGGAGTCTGCCGTGGAGGTAAGATGCCATTTGGACTAAATGTCTTTTCACTTACATTATAAGCATGGTTAACACATAGTGTTGTTTCATTTTAGAGTGAATGTTAATCATACAGAATTCACTTAAATTACCTCAAATAAAACATCGTCTTTATGTAGACTGAGATATATATTCAGTCAGTTTAGAAATAACTGATCTTGTCAATAAATTGCTAGCTGTGTTGATGTTGTGTTACTTTCTCAAAAGTTGCCTGATCTTTTTCAATCAATTTTGATCAAACTCTGTGTCTGGTCCATTCCCAGGCGTCTCCTGGCATCATTGCCAACCCATTCACAACAGGCATCGTCCGCAAGAACAGCATGGAAAGCATCTCTTCTATAGACCGAGACCTGAGCCCAGAGGAGATGGACATCATGCAGAAGGCACAAATTCAGATAATTATTATTAACATATATCTGCTCTTATTATTTATCTTAATTACCAAAGTTAACATTGTTTGAGAAATTAAAGTCAAGTTAATGTGAATATAGCAATCATGCACTGTTTGGCCGGACAAAGCCAAAGAGGCCTGAGTAAAGTAAGCGAACAGTGTCAGTTTGTGCACCAGGATGCACAGTTACACCCCTTTGATCCACATACCAGTAATCAGTTTGGTGATTTTGTTGTCAACACGTGAATCAGATGTTTTGTTCAGCGATTCTGTCACAGCAACACTCTGCTTCCACAGCAGTTTGGTGTCAGTAGGTGGAGCAGAGTTTGATTCACCCCATCCATGTACACCACACACACACACTCAGCTTTTCACTACTGCACCCAGAAAGCGCCAGCACCGTTGTTTAATTTGTCCAGATTAGCTTTTGGGAGACTGCCCGCACTAAAGGAATGTAGGGGCTTGTTGCTGTATTGAATGCTTGTCTCTGTTGTTCCTCTGCACACTTTGAGTTTTTTGTCATACAACCTTTTTTATCAGAGACACACATAGGAACTTGCTTTGGTTTACTCAGGCAGGCAGTGCTTTAAGATTTACAGGATGAAAAGTAACAATTTCTTGGATCTTAAATCTTGCTGTTTTGCAGGAGTCTGAGATGGTGAGAGAGACGTCGCAGTGGGAGCGAGAAGAGATGGAGAAAGTGGTAAGTAAAACTGAAAATCCGTTACTGTTTTGGGAAAGCTGGAGGTAAATTTGTATCTGTCAGATCAGCAGATATATGGCAATACAGCGAGGCATAAGAATTCAGTTTTTGTTCCATTGTAGCTCAAAAAAAGGCCAAACACGAGTCAGGGTGGAGCTTTAGAGTCAGAAGCTCAGGTTGGTCTGTTATCGGGTGAATGCAGCCTCTCCTCTGCACCCTGTGTGTGGGTATTGTGTTTACCAGAACTATTCCTGCGATGTCCCACCTTGCATGCTTTTTCTGCTCCCATAGCTAATGAATAGTCATTTTTAATGTGTGCGGATTCTATCCTTTCTTTCCCTTCTGTTTTTCTCTCATCTCTCCTTTACCCTTGGTGTGTTTGGTGTGATACAAAATCATCCAATCATCATCATCTCCATACCACTTCTCCACTGTTGTTGTCTTTCTGCACTTCACCCCCCGTAACACTTCTTTCCTCTTCTGTTAATCCTCCATCTTCACCTCTCATCGCATTACTGTGTGGCTGTGTGTGGTTGGGGTCTTCTCTCCTCTTCCTCCTCCTCCCCTTCCTTTCTTGGTGAAGGAGCGTATGCGCTTGGAGCGTGAGGAGGCAACTCGCCTGCTAGAAGAGGAGACTGAGGTGAGACACTCCTCATCAGCAGGTCTGCAGACAACCTTCCTGTCTGTGCAAAAGGGCAGTCTGATCAAACATACCACAGCGCTACTGCCACGGGGTTCATTTGCTCATCCCCGGCATTTCGGGATAATAGAATATTTTGGG